CGGCTCATTCTAAAACTATTGCATTGGCGTTATTTCAACTAACGTAAGTAACCAACCTAGTAAGGCGATTATTTTTCTGTATAGTCATCTGTTGAACTTAACGTAATGAGCACATATCTGCGTTTCTGGCGCTGTTATGTTTCCCGCTGTTTATTAAACTAGTGTTTGTTCCACGTGGTCATTAAACTTTGTTTCGTGTCTTTTTTGTTGTTAAATTGACTCAAGGAAGAACAGCGAATATCGCACCATGGACTCGGAGATCTTGAACATAGAGGAGATCGTGATGGGACGGGGCTTGCCGGATCCACCACCCGAGGCTCCCCCGGAAAAGCCGGCAGAACCCTACAAACCCATCACTTTGAATGGACCTCCGGCTCCCTCGGTTCATTCCTGTGAGTGATGCAGCGATCATACCTTTTAAATCAGCTTCCCGAAAGCAACAACACATAATAAATCTGACATTCTGTTGTGGATTCAGACCAGCATGAAAACTTGCAGTGCTTCCAGTGCTTCATCACGTTCTGCAGTGCAAAAGCCAAGGAGAGACACATGAAGAAGAGCCACCGGGAGGAATACAAGCAGCAGCTTCAGCAGGTGAGAAGAACAGAGCGTGTAATTTTTAACTAAATTGATGAGCTTTTTGTGTCTTAATCTATTCACCAGAGTTCAACCCTGCTTAATGATGGGAAGCTGGGGTTTTTCTTTTTAATTTCTTTTTATAAAATTTGCAATAATGAAACTATTAAAACCACAGATTTGTGGGGACAATTTATCAAGAGTAATCACTTTCTCACGTCACTAGATCATCCTTTAAATTCAGCGTATGTGTGTAGCATCTTGCACCAAGCAGAATATTGCACACATTGCCCTGGTGTTGCAAATGTTAGCATTCCGAGGGCCAGTAATGTCCCATTTGTGTTCGCCTCATTAGTTGCTTCGCACATTACATTACGTGCTGTTATGGTGCTTTTGTCCATTAGTGATCTTCTGTATCACCGTTGCAGAAATTTCCATCTTTGAGTCCCATGTCATCTGGAAATCCTTGTGCACCCTTTGTTATGTAAAAGCCTGCACAAACAGACTTCCTCAGTCTTAACCCATCCTCATTCATTTTGAAAATGACTGCAGCGAAGAAAATCGGGAGGCGTCCGACCCACTGAAATGACACCATAGTGCAGGTTACACTACATAGCTTTCACATTATACACTACTCCTCAAGGCACCAGATTGCTCCGGTTGAGTCCGTAGACGCCCATTTTTCTCTAAAGGAGCCTTCACACAACCCTATGTCCAAAACAAGGTTTTAAATGTTTCTCCTCCCCGTTCTTTTTGGTCATCTTTTCTCAGGGAAACACATTGTTCACATGCTACGTGTGCGACCGCACATTTCTGTCATCTGAGGAACTGACGCAGCACCAGCCAACACACAGCAAGGATGACAAGCCCTTCAAATGTGTTCACTGCAAAGAGAGCTTTAAAACGTTCTCTGAAGTGAGTATAATTTAGAACATACAGCAGAATGAATCAGTTTCTAGCTTTATGCATTTGTGCTTAATGTTTGTGCATAACCATTTACGTCTCTCCTGTCTAGCTCTCATCCCATAGAAGACAGGTGTGCCCAGAGAAACAGATGGTTTGTAAAGATTGCAATGAAACGTTCCGTAGTGCCGGACTGCTGCGTGCTCATCGCCTGACCCAGCATCCACGCCCAGATGTCGAGACTGCAGAACAGCCAGAGGATTCTACAAAAACTCATCGCTGTAAGAAGTGTGGCCAGGGATTTGAAGCTGAATCAGAGCTGATAGCACACCAGGAGAAATACCCCGAAGGTCAGCAGTGCAACGGCAGCGCTTCATCTGTCAAGAAACGCGGACGGCCTGCCAAGGCCGAAGATGCGGCGGGTGCTGAGAAAAAGGGAAAGCGGGAAAAGAAAGAGGAAGCAGACATTCCCGAGGAGACCGTGAAGGCCGGCAGCACATCAGACGCGACGGCAACCCCAGCGGAAGAAAAAGGGAAAGCAGGCGGAGCAAAGCGTGGCCGTCTCTCGAAGGTGGCAGCAAAGTCAGAAACGGAAGATAAAACTCCCGAGGACGAGAGTCAGGCTTCAGCAAAGGAGAAGAAACCTAAAGCAGAGCCGACCCCACCCCGTCAGCACCCGTGCCCCGAGTGCGACCTCACATTCCCCGGCTTGATTCAGCTCCGTGCTCACAAGAAGGAGAAGCACGCCCCAGGGAAAGCCCACCCCTGCGAAGAATGTGAAGAGAGCTTTGCCCGTCCAGAGCAGCTGGATGCCCACATGTCCCGGGCGCACGCCGTGGGCCGATTTGCCTGTCCGACCTGCGGGAAGAGCTTTGGCCGAGAGCGCACATTGAAAGCTCACCAGAAAAGCCACCCAGAGGAAAAGCCTGAAAACACAAGTGGAAAAAGATAATTGAGGCATGGAGACTTTGCAGATTTTATTCATAAATTTTCCTTTTTACCCACCCCTCTCTCTCTTCTTCTTTTCTTTTTTTTTTTAAACTTTGGGGATCTCGTACTGCAGATGATGTTGGTTTTTGAGAATGAAGTTTTGGTGATGAGATTGATTTTGATTACCGACTGTTGAAATGTTGGTCTAAGAGACACATCTCCTAAATTAACTAACCAGACATGAAACCCAACTATTACACCGTTTGTCACAAAATAGTCTGTAAAAACAGAAACTGTTTGGATTAACTTTTTAAAGGATTTTCTTTTTTAAGTGTGAAATGCGTGTGAATTTATTACTTTGTGTCTTGAGTTGTTGAACTCACTTTGTGGTTTAAAAAAAAAAAGTCTTCCCTCTCTTTTTTTCCCCCTTAAATTTTGGGCAATTACATGTGTTGAGGTAAATTTAGATACCTGGTAGTGATACTATGTTTAATTGTTTAGTCATTTTTTTTTGTTTGTTTTGTTTTTGTTTTTCAAGAACAATTATGTCATGTACAGCTTCGGGTTCTTATTGTGCATTTTTACACTTAATATTTTGATTATGTTACTTTATAAATTAAGTCTCATTGAGGAGGAATTTTAAAATAACACGATTAAGCTCTGCTGAAAGTTTATTTTTTGCTAAGTGCTCCCAGTTCAATGTAGAGTGGTTGGCATGTGGGCAGAAATCATCCACTTTAATCCTGATTTGTCTGATGCTAAAATGTACTCCCTTATTTTTTCACTTGTTTAAAGGACCAGTGTGCAGGATTTAGGGTGGTCTATTGGCCAAAATGAAGTACAATATTCATAATTGTATATACTAAACTGGAATTACTAACCACATTAGTATCTACAGAAGGAGAGGATCCTCACCTGAGAGGTCCGTGTAGTTTTGTAGAGAAGAAAACTCTGTAAACATAAATACATGCCATCCATGTAAAATGCAAAGTAGGTGTGTCATGTAGTCGCCATTTTTCTATAGTAGCCTGGAATGAACAAACCAGACCTTAGCCACAAGAAGGGCCTTTCCTGCTGTTCAGTCACAAGTAGTTGTATATGCTTGGAAAATGACTTTGGTCGCTATCTGCAACCTCACCACTAGATGCCAATGAATCCTACACAATGCTCTTTTAAAATGATCTTTAATGTCTTAGACATTTTTGAATGGGACTGGTGGTTCTTTAATGCTCTAGCATCCAATAAGGAACTGTGTATATCATGTGTTACTCACTGATTGGATTGTTCTCTCCCCACTGCAATGTGTCTGGACATGAAATAAAACTTGCTATCCCAAGGGAGGCTGCTGAAAAGATGACTCAACTTATTGTTTCTGTTCTTATTTGGAATTCAGGAGCACCAACTAAAATGAGGAGTTGCATTGCTTGTGGTGATAATGTAGTTTGTTTTGAAAATGATGCATGCTGGGTTTCATGTGGTTTTGAAATTAGTATCTATTTTTAGCGTAATGTTAAGAAGGCCTTTTTTTTTTCCCCAAGCCTGGAAGAGAACTAAGTCTAAATGGTGGGTTTTCATTGACAGCTGAATCATTAAAACAAATGTCAGACATGCTCTTCCTAAGTAGCCTGTGGCATGATGTTATTTAGGATTTTCTAATGTTAATGCACTATTAGGTACATTATAAAGGTTCAACTACTTGTTAATTTCTAATCAATCGCACAGCAGAAACTAAATGCTGTGGCATGTAAACATTGTCAAGATGACCTGCTGAAGTTCAAATGGGGACGAAGGGTGATTAAGTGACTTTGAACATGGCGTAGTTGTTGGTGCCAGACTGACAGGTCTGAATATTTCACGAATCCACTGGGATTTTCACACATAACCATCTTTAGGATTTACAGAGAATGGGGCAAAAAGAGAAATTATCCGGCCATTTATCTGGGTGAAAATGACTTAGTGATGGTAAACAATGGAGGAGAATTACAAGACTGAAATTGATAGGAAGGTAACAGTAACTCAAAAACTGCTGCTGTGCATTCAGAGCATCTCTGAATGCACAGCAGCAGAAAGACACACCTGGTGCCACTCTTCTCAGTCCTTAATAACCTGGCTCCTCAAATCTACATTCTAAAGTATTATTGTGTAAGATACTGAACCCTCAGTTTCTCCTGATGCATCAGTGTGTGTATGAGACTGTTACAAAGTGCATAGGGGTGAATGAGACTTGTAGTAAAAGGGCTTTGAGTGCTCAGCTGACTAGAAAGGTGCTATGTAAATACCAGTACATTTTCTGCCATAGCTTTCCATTATAACCTACATATAAAAATCTCAGAGAATCTATGCATTTATATGAACGTAACTAATAAGATACAAAACTGACTTTAATACCTATGCATTATAAGACCAGTCTAAACCACACTACATATGATCTTTTTTACAAAATGTATTTAAAAGTTTCCTAAAATATTGCCCTGCTTGTACACCTGTGCAGCTGTAAGACCGTGTAATACCACTCCGTGCCACCAGGCGTGCTCCAGCGTTTGTGTGAAATTTTCTTCCCTGTGTTTTCCTTTTTGTCCTTATTACCTCGATGTTCATCTTCGGTTGAGGTGAGTTTGTAGCTGGCTAATTGGGTTATCGGGCTTATTTTATGTCATGCTGAATAGTGCTTTTGTTTTTATCGTACAAATTAGACGTGTCATATGTTTCGATATGTATAGATAGTTTTTTTTTTTGTAAAGCTAGCATCGAGAGAAAAGGTTGTAAAAACACGCTTGGCTTCATCTGCTTCTCCTGCCAGGTGAGAGAGGTGACCAGCAGTTCTTTAAGGTGTGGCATGAACGACTTTAAATTAAATGTTGAGAATAAAAACAATCCTGAAGACTTATAACAGTCGCTCGGCAAATCAGCTGAAGCACATTTGTGCTAGTGTTTGTTTATTAGTACACGTGCACTAACTGTGAGACGCGTTAACGTTTTAAATGTTAGCTGAACACGGACCCCTCTCTCTGTTTCATGTCTCCTCAGCCTCCAGTCATGTCCATTGAATACACTATTGATATCCAGCTGACAGAGTTGGGATTTCCGGACATACTGCAGCCGGAGGAGGCTTTGGTCAGACAAACACCGTGTCGCTCCACATCATCTGATGGCTCCATCTCACCCAGTCACTCTCCTACTTCACTTCCAACCAAACATAAACCGAAACGGCTGCTCAGAGGTGGCAAAGTAGTAGGTGCAGCAGGACAGACCTCAGACACCCAAGAAACCACAGTGGCCTCTGGTCCATCCAAACGGACTGAGATGTTAAACTGTAAACGGCTGAATCCCACAACAAAAAGGCTGCAAGACAAACAAAGTGGCAGCGATACAGCGCTCGCTGAGCCGTCAGCACCCACAGTGATGAGTGATCCCATTGCTTTACAAGAAACCACAGACATTCCCCCAGTGATCGCTGAACAGGAAGGAGGGGGTAGCGATGGAGATGGAGGAGGGCAGAGACCTGATGTAGACATGGCTGAGGGTGAATCGGCGGAAGTGCAGGAGGATGACTCGGATGACAGTGAAGTGTCAGAGGTGTATGAGGAGGAAGAGGTTGATGAGGAAGAGGAGGATGAGGAGCTAAGCAGTGGTAAGACCATATGTTAATATAACACATGCACCCATGTGCAGGTGAAAGGTTCAACACAGATTTTCCTGTAATTGGCAGGTAGTTGCTCCTGATACACAAACTAAATGCCGAGTAAAATGGCATTATGCACTTATTTGCATAGTGGTTTTTAAGTCTGAGCCTGTGATAGTTTCCCTTAGTGTCAACAAATCTCATGAGAACAACAAACATCAACACTGCACTTGGCCTTGCAATTGTTTACTCATTCGCATGAACCTTGGCACTATAGTGCCTAGATGTGTAAAGCGCTATACAAATACAGGCCATTTAACGTCTCCTAAACAGACAGACTTTGATACACCAGTTTTAGTAAGTTTGATAAGAACATTTCGCTACTTTTTGCTTCTCGACCTTTTTGGGTCTTTTTTATCTTTGTTTTAAGTTTAAGGTTTTATGACCTGTTTTTTTTTTTGGGGGGGGGGTTGTTTGTTTTTTCCTAAACCTGCAATATTGACCGGCCTCAACAAGAGTGTCATGCTGACCTGGGCATTATATGGCCTGCAGGCCACATTCGGCCATGGATCAATGGGAAATTAGGATTCAAACATAAATGAGTATACATCATGTAGTTTGTCCCATTTCAGTCACCAAACACTCTCAAAGGATAGTGATTTTTTTTATTTTTTGGGGGGAACATACAATACAACTTTATTCCTTTTATTTTGTAGGCAACTTCTTATTTTGTTTAATTGAATAGTTTTAATGTACAACTGCAGATTCACTGTAAATGCTTTGGAGCTTATGTTAGAGATGTGAGTTTGTTGAGAGATGTGAGTTTGTTTCCCCCAAATTTATCAGTTGACATTAAAAAGACTGATGCAGAACGTAGTTGTTTTTTTGTTTTTTTTAACAAGATATGGACCTGTAAGTATTTGTTTTGTGAAGTCAGAGGTAAAGCCGTGTGCTTAATTTGTGGAGAGCAGATTGCTGCATTTAAGGCAGGGGTGTCGAACTCCAGGCCTCGAGGGCCGGTGTCCTGCAGCTTCTAGATCTCACCCTGGGTCAACACACCTGAATCAAGTGATTAGCTCATTACCAGGCCTCTGGAGAACTTCAAGACATGCTGGGGAGGTAATTTAGCCATTTAAATCAGCTGTGTTGGATCAAGGACACATCTAAAACCTGCAGGACACCGGCCCTTGAGACCTGGAGTTCAACACCTGTGTTGTAAGCCATTCTGTGATGGGGAGTTTGTCAAAGAGTGTTTGGTGCTGAGAAAACAGTAATTAGACTGAAGATGCTGCTGTAAATCTGGAGCTTTACTTTAAAAACAAAGCTGACAATTTCTGATTTTCTCCTTGGCTCTGGATGAGCTGTGATGTCCAAGATTTACTTTTTACTTGCCTTTGTATGGGTTAGGGTTTGAGATCATGGAGGAGCTGGCAACACCGACTCAATGAAAGGGACTGTGACAATTAGTTCAATTCAATTTTATTTATATAGCTCCAAATCACAACAACAGTTGGCTCAAGGCGCTTTATATTGTAAGGTAGACCCTACAATAATACATACAGAGAAAAAAACCCCCAACAATCATATGTAGTAACTAGGGGTGCAACGATACACAAAATTCACGGTTCGGTT